GGCTGCCCAGCTCCCTCCTCACAGGATTTGCCTAACAGCAGCATTAGCCTATGACACCCCTGCTGCCTATGTCTCCTGTGAGAGCAGGAAGTGAAGGGAGAAGAGCTGTCTTTTTTCTGTATATGTTTAATTTTAACCATTTGTATGCATAAAACTGTAAGGGTTGTGTATTTCACCCTTTTATGAACTTTGTACCTTGTGGCTTTGTCTGGGGCACCTTAAAAGTCCATTTGGTTTTAGTATATGAGATGTTAGATTATGATTAGGATGTGGCGCCCCGTCCCATGCTCGCGGTATCCCAAATTTACACAATTTTATTCCAGAAACATCACATCTTTATAAGAAATGTACCTGCAGTTTACTGATGGAACATTGTCTAAAGACATTTAAAATTGACAACCCACCAGGATATAATGAGGATATGCATTGGTTTGTTTCCCACGTTTCAGATTCTTGCTATCTATAAATGTACCTAACAAGCCTGCATATGACACGTGTCACAATGATCAGTACTTTCTTATCCTTCGACAACAAATAAAAAGTCATTTAGATATAAAAAGTAATCTCTGAGAGGTAATGCTCTACTATAATAAAAATGTAAGAGTGGAAATTCAGATCACTACAAATGTCAAAATTGGTGACTGGCTGTCTTTAAACCCAACACAGAATGACTTATTCCCAAATTCTCGGAAGCTGAGCCCATAGTAACATAATTAAACCTTGATCAAGAAGTGCACAGAGGATATTTTTCTTGCTAACACATCTATTAGTCATTTTTATGATGACTGCTCTTAGGTAGCATTTTTACCCTAAATCTGATCTCCAGCCTCCCCTTCAGTCTTGCACAGTTGTACATGATCCTCTATTGTACTAAAATTCCTTATTCTGATTTCACCGCACGCTTCAAGCTTTTTACAGTGTGCATTTGAAGCTTCAACAAATCAGAGAGAGTCCAGCTAATTTCCTGGATGGAGGATGTCCAGCATCATGTAACTCTCCGCCCCAAGCCTGGCTGTCCCTGGCCCACCCAGTTAATTCATTGGATTCAATCACATAGGCTCAGTGTCACATGTGGTGTTACGTAGACTACTCTGCATGCACATACAGCATGGGTGAAAACTCCTACTCCTTCAGACTGACACTCACCAAACAAGGCATTTTGGTATTTGTATAACTCCCCTCAAGAGCCAGCTCATTGCTTGCATTGTGGACTAAGGACTCTTGAGAGGAGTACCGAGGCAGGGTGTTTGAATGTTCTCAGGATGCTATGTGCAGCACCCTATGCTCTCCTTCTAATAGCTATGAACCAATGCATTGTATAGAGAAGCACAGAGACCCAGTGCCAATGTCAATGTGTCTAAAATAAGGTATGTAATGAAAACAGTTTTTTTTTTACCTGCTTGCTCACCGCCCTATAGTAGAAGTACTGCTACAAGGCGGCGTGTCTGCGCAAAATCACATATTTATGTGATTTGCATTTCTGGGTAGGAGGCGCGTACGAATGCCACCCTACCCTCACCACTATTGGCGGCTAGGGATGTCAATCACCGGGTCCTAGCCGGCATTCGGCGATCGCCATATAAAGCTGACAGGAGAGAGACCTATGTGTAAACAACACAGGTCTCTCCCCTGTCAGCATGGACATGCTATTTTGTATCTCTCTGCACAGCATGCCTCCCTAGTAAAACAGCACACAGCAAACCCCTTGATCACCCAAAAGTTAACCCCTTCCTGCCCAGTGGCATTAGTACAGTGTCGGTGCTTTTTATTAGCACTGATCACTGTATTAGTGTCACTGGGGATTTAAGTGGCAGTTAGTCAGTTCCCCCCCAGTGTCAGAATGCCCGCCTCAGTCCCGCTATAAGTTGCTGATCGCCGCCTAAAAAAAAAAATAAATAAATATTCAAGTATATATACCGCCATTCGTAGACGCTATAACTTTCATGTAAACCAATCAATTTACACGTATTGGGATTTTTTTTTTAGCAAAGACATGTAGCAGAATACAATACATTTATGCCGAAATTTGATTTTTTAAATTTTTTTATTGGATATGTTTTAAAGCAAAAAGTCAAAATGTTTTTTCTTTCAAAATTGTCGGCCTTTTTTTGTTTATAGTGCAATAAATAAAAATGCAGAGGTGATCAAATACCACCGAAAGAAAACTCTATTTGTGGGGAAAAAAGTACATAAATTTAATTTATGTACAGCGTTTCATGACCGCGCAATTGTCAGTTAAAGTATCGCAGTGCTGTATCGCAAAAAATGGCCTGGTCAGGAAGGGGGGTAAATCCTATTGAGGGCAAGTGGTTAAAATTTTTAGCTCCCTGCAATAGAAGAAGTTTTATACTTACCTCTCCAGCTTTCTTGCCTTTTACTTCCCTTCCATTCCAGTGCTGCATCCTTCAAAAGCTTGACTGTGTCCCCTGTTGAATGCCTATATTTTTCTTTCCCCAACCCCTATATCACTGTAAGACTGACTAGTGACATAGGGGTAAAGAAACCATAGCTGCAGTGCTAGAAACAAGGAAAGGTAAGAGACATGGGCTGTTTGATCGGGAGCTGATCATTTTATATCTTTAGAGACCCAACAGGGTCTCTTTAAGGCTCCATGCACATTGGGCGTTTTAATAACGCTGGTAACATTAGCTGTGTAAAGTCACGTTAAAAACATGAGTTTTTCAGTGTTTTTTAGCGGTTTTGCATTAGCATTTAGCGGCGTCTTGCCACGTTTGCATTTTTAGTGGGCTTTTTGTCACCAAGAAAAAAATTTTTTTGCTCAAGAAAGTCCACAAATGCTGGTTTACCGAGATTTACCATGTTTTGCCGTGTTTTTCAGCGTTAGAGCGTTTTTACAGCTGCAAAACTCCTGTAGAAACCTACTAGTTCTGGGGTTTTTTTCCAGCCACAAAAACACCCCTGCCAAAAAAACCTTGATTACAGTCTATGTGAGCGTGGACACATAGGATAACATGCTGGGGAGGACTTAAGGATACTTTTAGACCAAACCTACTGAAATCTACGCTGATTTTTTAGGCTAAATTTCTCCCTTAGTAAATCTCTGACATTATTTATAAAGGACATTATATTTATCTTGATGCTTGAGACCCCTTAAGGATGCTTAGATATCCTAACCCATGTCTGTGCTCCTGGAAATGAATCAGAAGTAAATATCTGGAGAGCAATGAATTAAGCAATTTCCTTTTGTCCCTTCAAACCAAGGTTAGAGCTGCTCTACATACATGAGCCTTTATCCTGTATCGGTTCTATATTCATATACCTGCAGTATGCAAACCTCTATGCAAATTCAATATTTAAATTGGCTGGCTTCCACATATTTTTCATAAATTCTATATTATTATAGGTTAGTAACTCAAGTTGTCTGCCTTAGTGCAAAGCTGGTGTGAGGAGCAATTCAATATAGAGGGAAGCCTATAGCAAACAAATTATTCAACCAGCCTGCCGATCCAGTTATAAGGACTAGAGATGGTCCAGATGCATTCTGTGCTGCAGTAAAATTGATCAGAGCATAATACCACTGTCTTTCAAAAGATTTTTTATTCCTTATGGATTGATTAAAGGCTCTTGTACATGGGCATAAGACTCAGAAGCAAGCCAAATGCAGTTCCTTATTCAGGTGTTTTATAAGTTGATTTGACTTGCTGCTGGTAGGGAATAGCTCAGACAACTTTTTGGCGAGATAGCTCAGGCAAGTTTGCTTGCTAATGCCTGCTCCTGAGTTCCTCTGGTTTGCTTTGAGTTGCTTCTGTTGTTTTGGGCTGCTTCTGACCTGCTTCGAGTAGCTACCCATCTTCAGATTGACTTGTTTGGGTAAGAAAAGTAACTCGGACAAACAAAAGTCCATATGCTGTACATGAGCCTCAAAACTGAACTCTAGGCAGACATAAAACACATATGAAAACACATGACAAGACGCACACTGATAGAAGAAGAGAAAAGAGTGACAGAGAGATGAGCTCATCCCTGCACTGCTACTCCATTCGCTGTCCAGTCACAGACTGAGTTTGGATCTGGGTTTGGGTCCTGGATGATCTGGTCTTAGTGAAAGTGGGTTCAATGATGCTGGCTATCAGAATGAGGACCTCTAGTAGCAGAAAAAAATACTGTGGGGGAAATCTCTGGACTAAAGGTAAATATTAGAACAAAAGCTTTGTTTAATATTTTAATAAACTATTCTTTTTTCTAGTTTTGGCTGGAATGTTGCTTTACAGACAAAATGTGCTTTTAACCTAACATACTCTCCTCCCAAATACACACTTAACCTGTAGTAGAGATGCACCCCTTGCACTGTCTACTTCTCCTTCAGTGCTGGCCGTGCCTGTGCACCTAGACCTAAATGAGTTTGCATGGGGCCTTCACACATGCTGGAGCAACTTTTTATTTCTTTTTTATTCTGTATGATTTGTGACTGATTTTTGCTTGGAGAAACCTTAAAAAAAACCTTTTCTTGCAGTAAAAATGCTGATTTCTGCCCTCCCTCTCCAGCACTCTATGTCGGCAGAGCTGAGTACCAGCTATACCCCCCTGACAAGGTCTTTTACTGATTCCTGAATACTGTACGCTAGGTCTAACTGTGGTGCCTACTTGGCTAAAGTCCGCTGTCAGCTAACATCACAGAGCCGGTCCAGGCTTTGCAGGGATCCCGACAATATTGTCAGGATTTGCCCACGTGCCTGACTGGCAGCTGGCTCAGCCTCTCAGCATGCCCCTGACTGACTGGGCCAACCTCTCCTGCCCTCTCCAGATTCTGGTGCTCCAGTGAACACTGGAGGGGCAGAGCGAGAGCTGGTGACTAACAGTCACTGCTCTGTGCTCAGAGCAGACCCGAGACCTGAGTGATCAGCAGTCTTTTATCGCTCAGTTGTTGGTGTAAAGACAGTGGGGGACAGATGCAGCATCTGATCTATGCTGTATCCACTTAGGTGAGTATTAAAGCGATTCTACAGGTTAATTTTTGTTTTGTAAAATAACAAACATGTTATACTTACCTGCTGTGTGCAGTGGTTTTGCACAGAGCAGCCTGGATCCTCCTCTTCTTGGGTTCCCCTCAGACTATCCTGGCTCCTCCTGTGTGTCGGGTACCCCCACAGCAAGCAGCTTGCTATGGGGGCACCCGCTGCTCCGTGTGTCCATTCACATACGGAGCCACTGTGTGGCCTCGCCCTCTCTCTCTCCTCATTGGCAGACTGGCTGTGATTGACAGTAGGGGGAGCCAAGGGCTCCTGCTTGCTGTCTTAGTCAATGAAGAGGCAGAGACCAAGGATGTTGTGCATATTGATGGATTGTGATGAGGGTCAGGTAAGTATTGAAGGGGCTGGGGGCATTGCTGCACACAGAAGATTTTTTACCTTCATGCATAGAATGTATGAATGTATGAAGGTAAAAAACCTTCAGCCTTTACAACCATTTAATGTTTATTTTTTTTTTAAATCCCACACTTCTCTCTTCGATAGTTTTGCTGTGCTGTTATATACACACTATTCACAGTAAACTGCAACACTAAAAAGACCAAACTTCTCCTTTAAGCCTATCACTCTCTCTCCCTGTATTCTTCACATCCATATCACACATAAAACTTTTTAATGTTAAACATTCCTGGCACCAAAGATTTGCCGAGAAGAGATTCACCTTCTCATTTCGCACGAGGAGTCAATAAATATAATTTTATGGATGGTCGACATAAAGAAAGAGACACTATCCTCTTGCGGAACTCGGCCTGGCGTCATAAACCATGAGAGGGAGAGGTGGCGTTTTAAATGTCACCACCAGAAAGAAGCGTTTCATTTTTATCGCTGCCTTTCATATCGGTCACATTATGTACTGAAAGTTTCCCAAAGAGGGGAAAAAACAGATAAGACAAACAGAGATATGCAGAAATGATGGGATGTCTGCCCAGACAACGAGGATAAAATAGTAATGTGAGCATACAGAGTCCTCGTATCAGACATATTCTTTAACTCGGGGCACTTTGAAAGATTGCGGAGAGACAGTTTAAAAGGGGAATACTATTTTTCTATAGAAGCTGTGTTACATTAAAGCCCAATTGAAGTATGACAACTTTTTTTTTTCCTTTTTATAGTCCTGTACCACCGTATGTTATTATTGCTATTTTTTATGACTGATTTTTGTTTTGGATTGTCTTTTCTTTTAGTGGAAATGACATCCTTGAACTGCCTTTCTGGAGCTCTATGCTGACATAGCTGAGTAATGGCCACACCTGTCTTCACAAAGGTACTCACAGAGGAGATGAGAAGTCATGGTCTGGACTGAGCGAAGCTAAGGGGAGGGCCAGCATGACTGGGACTTGCAGACGAGGCGGAGATTGGATTTGGGTGGGAGGATATTCAGTAGGTAGTGGTGGTTACTCACCTGATTGGAGTATTTGCGTTTGAGGGTGGTCTTTCCAGGATGAGGTGAGGGGTTGGGACCTGTTGGGTGTCAGTCGGAGTTTCTGCCAGCACGGGTGAGGTTTCTCCTGCCCTCCCTCCCTGGACCTGTTTTGTTTTGCTGTTTTGTTTTTTTTCTTGTTATTGGTCTTGTCCTTTGTGTTTGTCTTGTTGTTTGGTTTTGTGTCGGTTTGTTGATTTTTATTTTCTTTCCTTGATCAGCATTTTGTGTCCTGGGGTGTTTGGCGTTTTTTGTTTTGTCATGGCAGCTAGCAGGGGTCGCTGGGTCTTTGAAGGCGGTGCTGGAGTGACAATTTGGTGGATTATGGTTTGGGCCCATTGTAGGTATGGGTGTTCCTTCCCAATTATAAGGTTACATTGCTAAGGTGGTAGTTAATGGGCTGTATCTGGGACTACGTAGCTGTAGTATTGTCCCCAGGGTGGTGTAGTAGCGGCTGGGGGCCTTTTCATTAGGTGTCAGATACAGCCGAGTTATTGATGTGAGTAACATTGCCTTCAAAGACCTTGGACCTGGTTGGGATCATTACTGTCAGTTATTATTTGATTGTACTGTATGAAGTGTTATGTAAGAGTTATGTTAAATAAATGGGCTGTTATGGCCGTTTTTACACCAAAAGGAGAATTGCGTGGCTATTTCAGGTGGGAGAACTTAGAGGGGGTGGTTGTTTTATTGGTTAGGTGATGAGTATTAGCCTTGATATTCTGCATGTCCCTCAGTCATGAGTCTGACCAGGTCTGTTAGATTATGAAGTGCACTGAGCACTGTGATCAAGCACTGTGTAGTCAGATTTGGACACCAATGCAAATAATATAACAGGAAAGTAGAGGTGAGTCTATGAAATTGGCAGTTGTTGGTACAACATCTTTCTCTTTATCTATTTCTTTGAATCATATCAAATACTGTATTTCTTTTTCATCTTGGATAGAGTAAGGAATTTTTAAAACACTGGTAATTTTTTTGTCCTCTGTTTCAAAAAATCTCTCAAAATGATGGAAATTAACCCTTAGAAAAATGTCACTGCAACAGTTGTCCCCTATTGGAAGACTTTCTTTCTACTAATGTTCTACTGACAATGTAAACATTTTTTTAATGTAAACTTTATTTAGGGTAAAAAAAACAGTACAAAGGAAATCAAATAGACATGTCTCTATCATTATACACAGAAAGAGCCATAACCAACAGGGCAAGCTCAAGTCTTCCAATGCCACTGACCAGTGGTGTATTTTGGTTTTGTGCTGCCCTAGGCAGGACTAAAATTGGGCACCACCCCATCTAAATTTGTTCCACCCCTTCATCTGTAAACCCATCCTTTCCTCTTTATGCTCCACCTCTTCCTATTAGAGCTCCATCTCAGGAGACTATCAAAAACTGCAGACAGGATACAGGAGACTGTCAGAGAGTGTGGACAGGATACAGGAGACTGTGGACAGAACACAGGAGACTGTCAGAGACTTCAGATCAGGATACAGGAGAATGTGAGAGACTGCACTGCAGACAGGATACAGGAGACTGCAGACAGGATACCGGTGACTGTGGACAGGATACAGGAGACTGTCAGAGACTGCAGACAGAAGACTGTCAATGAGTGCGGATCAGGATACAGGAGACTGTCAGAGACTGCAGACAGGATACAGGAGACTGCAGACAGGATACAGGAGACTGTGGACAGGATACAGGAGACTGCGGAGAGGATACAGGAGACTGTCAGAGACTGCGGACAAAGTACAGGAGAAGGTCAGAAACTGCAGACATGATACAGGAGACTATGGACAGGATACAGGAGACTGTCTGAGACTGCGGACTGGATACAGGAGACTGTGGACAGGATACAGGAGACTGTTAGAGACTGCAGACAGGATACATGACTCTGTCAGAGACTGCGGACACAGTACAGGAGAAGGTCAGAATCTGCAGACAGGATACAGGAGACTGTAGACAGGATACAGGAGACTGTCAGAAACTGCAAACAGGATACAGGAGACTGCGAACAGGATACAGGAGACTGCAGACAGGATACAGTAGACTGTCAGAGACTGTGGACAAGATACAGAAGACTGTCAGAGACTGCGGACATAGTACAGGAGAAGGTCAGAAACTGCAGACAGGAGAATAAAAATAAAAATTCCAGTATCTATACCGTCATTTGTAAATGCTAAAACTTTCACGTAAACCATTTAATTTACACGTATTGGGATTTTTTTTTAGCAAAGACATGTAGCAGAATACTTTTTTTGGCCTAAATTTATGATGAAATAAATTTTTTTTCTTTTTTTTACTGGACATGTTTAATAGCAGAAAGTCAAAAATATTGTTTTTTTTCTCAAAATTGTCCGTATTTTTTTTTAGTGCAAAAGATAAAAAACGCACAGGCGATCAAATACCACTGAAAGAAAGCTCTATTTGTGGGAAAAAAGAACATAAAATTTAATTTGGGTGCAGTGTTGCATGACCGCGCAATTGTCAGTTAAATTAACGCAGCGCTGTAGTGCAAAAAATGGCCTGGTCAGGAAGGGGGCAAATCCTCAGGAGGGCAAGTGGATAAGGTCTCATTACAATACAAAGATATCAACATGTCAACCACATCTAGGTCGTGGTCTGAAGTAAAAAAAAAGGTGTCAATAGGCACAAATAAAAGGAGACCCCAACTACCATCCAGTAAAGGGTACAGCGGCAGGAGGGAAAAAAATCAGGATTGCTGATGCGTCTGGACAAGTTGTTTGAAGGTGGGATCCACATGTGCTGGCCAATGTAAACATTTTGATTTATCTGCACTTACAGTCCCAGTGACAGTGATCACCAGGACACACAGAGAACAAGACAGCAGTTCTGTCCCCTTGGTACCCAGGCCGCAGCCCAGAAGCCTTTTTGTAATTGTTGTTTAGTCCTCGGGCCCCTAAAGCTGGCTATACACTGGGAAAATTGTGTCTGCTTCCTGATGAAGAAGACAAAATTTGCTTAATAGGTGGCCCTGTTGGCCCTTTGCTCATCATTTTTCAACTGAACAATCCATTGATCGACTTGGGTACAACCAGTCTGTCGGACTTTATGACACGCAATCACTGCCAATGGCTATAGTTGCTAGCCATAACCATTGTGTTCTGCCTGCAAAACACAATAGCGCTGATTGTGTTAATGGGGAAAACGAGCGACTTTCTTTACTTCCAGCCATGGTGAAAAGAAAATTGAGTAATCTATGGGCTAGCTTAGTATTAGTTTGCAATATTGAAATATTTTATACTTACCTGGCTGAAAGAAATATTTTAGTCCTGACCATAAAAAAATAAAGAAATTACACAAAATCACTATGCATTCCCTTTTGATGATGCTCTATGTAGTTCCCATGTATTGGGGTTGGATGGCATAGAATTTGGATAATTGAGAAACAGCAGGAGAGGTGGAAGAAGCACAGATCCACAGACTGAAGGAGAAGGAGGTAGTTCCTTGCACTGCAGGCTTTCGGGTACAATTTGCTCTCCAGCAAGGAGAAAAGTGAGCACCACAGTAGTGACATCACCAAACCTCACTCCAAATTTCCTGAAACTAGCAGAGACAGCAGTGACTTACATGATCTCACACTGCACATATAAAGTTATGAGGCTCAAGGAACAAAAAGTGCAATGCTATTTTTCAGGAGAAATTCAAGGCAAAAGGTAATTTTTTCAATGTACTGCTTAGCCGTAATTAGCATTTCTAGATGTTGCCTACAAGATAACAGATGTTAACTTTTTGAGTTCAGGTCCACTTTAAATCTACCTGCTCTAGATTTGATAAAATTCATTAGATATTTTATTACAGGTACTTATATAGCACCTTCAATTTACATAGCGCTTCACATGTACTGTATATTGCACATTCACATCAGTCCATGCCCTTGAAAGAGCGTACTATCTAAGATTCATAACTCACATTCCTACATACTGTATACATATTAGAAACACTTTAGACAGGATCCAATAAACCTACCAGCTTGTCTTTGGATTGTGGGAAGAAACTGGAGTACCTAG